GCAGGATTAGCCCCTACACCGTTGAATAGTGTATCGGGTTCATCACCAACAAACCCGGTAAGCTTTCTAAAGCTCATATGAATAAACCACAACCAACAGTATAAATATGTCATTTACATATAATATACAAACACATGCACTTTCATTAGCATACCACGATCCTTGTATAATCAAGGTACTCATAATCAATGAACTCACCCCAATCACAATTCTTTTATTTTCAAGAATTGTCAAGTCACCACCTGTGACCTCAAAATCTATTTTAAATCTGTTAGAAACACAACTCATAAATGTCACTCTTGGACAAATAAGTGAGAATACGCTAGACTCTCCCAACTCACAAACACCTACACCATCCGAAATGGCACGATGCATGTTCACGAATTCGTGCCTAAGCCGTCAAGTAACTATGTGTTACCCTCATGAACATTGTAATGGCGACACTTAGATCTCTAAATGGTTTGGAGCCTCGCACCCCAAGGCTACAATTCCCTAATTAGTTGCCATGGTCAAACCATCCTGCTGGTTCTCTTCTAATTGAAGGAATCAGTGCATTCTCGCATCTACCTTCCAATCACAACATCAACACACGTCGAAAACAACAAAATGCACTTTGCACCTTAAACATTGTTTTCTATCTCAAATACAATCACCACAACAATAAATATTTATTTATATATATTTATGTGGCCATTCATTTATGAACACCACAATACAATCACAACATATCATGGTCATTCCCCTGAATACCATCCATTTTGCAAAAACCTGCAACTCATTTACAATCAAAACACATTTGATTGATTTTAAACTCACACAAAACAGTTTCTCAAAAACCACCACAACATGTTAATCCAATAATAATTGAGCTCCTCGCTCATCTCAACTAATTGTGCACTTGCACGCAAATCGAGGCACACATCACTCGAGACGCACCTCTCACGTGACTCGCGAAAGTCACCAACAACTCCAAAATTGTCATGACCAACCACGTCGTGGATCTTCAATCTCGAGCAAATCCGAGATTCCACGTCCAAATGACGAAAATGCCCTTCGGACCAGCCAGGGATCCAAAGCAATCAATTATCGTCCAAAACACTCCGAAACTGTGACATACACACTGTCGACGTCAAAGCAGGACCAATGACACCCATTGTCTAAAAAGTCACTATTTGGGTCCTGTGGGTCCCAGCCGTCCAACCGACACTCCAAAAATCCACCTCTGGCCACCGACCTCCGATTTCAAATCTGATCGCACCAATGGACTCTAAATAGTCTCGACATCACTCTGCATCAATTTGGGCCCGATCCAAAGGTCGAATCATTCTTGATCGCACGATCACGCAAAATCGAATGGAGATCGATCGCCTTAACTTCAAAACACACTAACTTAAGATCGGGACGTTCGATTGCCAATCCATTTATACCTAAAGACTCCTCACAACATCAACTACAACATATATAAAATCGGACACGATATAACGATCCAATCATCTCTGATATAACTGTCCAAATTTGCGAGGCTCCAATCGTTAGTCAAACGACGAACTCTCGCAAAACGGAGCACACCACCTCGAGGACTACAAACTATCTTTTGAACTCAGACTTCCAGGTACTATTCCGGCGACGGAAAAATCTTAGAATTGCCCGTCCAAAACTAAGGTACCTTAAGTAACTCGACGAGATAAACAACTTTAAAACTTGGAAGTTTAGATGAATCCACCTCTAAAGTAGTCAAATCGCCATCCAAAGTTATGGGTTTCATTGTGGACGAACGATCACCATGATTACAGTTGATCCAATCACCATGATTCCAGTTGGGTTATGTTCACGGGATGCTCCTTTATCGATATGGGTTGGCGGTGTTGAAAACTGTCACCGGACGCCACTGCAGAAGCCGTTGGAAATTGCCTCTCCGGTGAGGATTTGGACCAAAACGAAATTTCTGAAAATTATGGGCTTTTCTGCTAGTTGTATAGTGATCCTCCAATTTATAGAATTCCGAAAATAGCACTGTTCACTATTCACTATTTAGCCCTCCAATTAAATTTCAAAAATTCGAAATTTAATTTCTCCTTCGTTATAGCTCCGATTCATGACCCATTTGCGCCTATGCGTTCGTGAGATCAAGCTTGATTTTCCTAGTCCGAAATTATAATTTTCACAGTTCAATTTCTTGAACGTCCTTTGAAAAATCATTAAATTTTCAGTCGAAAAGATCACTTCAAATGTGTTTTGAGTCCAAATTGATATTAAACACTCTTAATCCAATCATTTCCACATCAAACCAACTTCATAAATTGCCCATACATTTAAGGGCTAATGATAAAAGACACCCTGCTGGTTTAGGGTCATTCTCAAATTGGGCCTCAGGGTATCAATTTTATCAATTTACGCCCTTATGTTTTCAAATTTGTCCAATTTCATCCTTCCGTTAAGTTGACCAGAAGGTCAATCGTTAAATGCTGATGTGGTACTCGTGGGACCCACCCCACCAGCAAATGGACCATTCTGTGCATGCCAGTTGAAGGGTAGTTTTCGGTTTCGACAATTCAAAAAAACAAAAAAAAAACCTCAAAATCGCGCCCAAATTGGGCACGCGTTGCAAAGCTGGAGATCGAAGACAAAGCGCCAAAGACGTTGTTCGTCCTCAACCTCAAAGCTCAGATCTACAATTTCGAAGAAGTGAGCCACCCAAAAGGTTTATTCAAGTGTATTGGCTCCTTAACCCAGAAAACGAAGGAGAAATGGAGCATAAGGCGATGGTGTGTTGGTGTGGTAAGAATGCAAGAATCCTAACGTAGTGGACAATTTCGAATCCTAGGAGGCGATTCGCTGTGTGTGCAAAGGTAAAAAGCTGGATTTGATGCAAAATACTAGATTTTGAATTGTAGCAGGTGCAAATATGAATTTACAGAGTGGGTTTTGTACAGGGTAGAGGAGCTTGTGATTTCTGGGTTTGGTACGATATGGAAATGTGTGAAAGGTCTAAAGTTGTGATTCCAGGGTTGCTAAAATCACGGGATAAATTGGAGAATTCACTATCAAAGGCTAGACGTAGAGAGAAGGTTCTTTGGGCAGCATTGGTGGTGTCATGGATACTTATTGCAATGTTCTTCGTTGGAGGGAATGGTGGATTAGATGGATTGAAGCTGAAGACTTAGGAATTGGCATGAAAGGGGGTGTTTTAGGATTGCACTGTGCTTTTGGTATGGGGAGTACTGTGCTTGTGGTGTAATGTAGTGTGCTTTTGGTTAGGTTTGCACTGTGCCTTTGGTATGGAAAGCACTATGCTTTTGGTTATGTAATGGGAATGAACATTTTGGCTATGTAATGGGAATGAGCATGATGGCTATTTAATCTGCATACAATGTGACATTTTGGTAATGCAATAATATGTACAAAATGGACCTGTTCTTTCCAACAACTTGTAACATTTACAACCTTCCAAAAAAACAGAACCTGTTTTCCAAAAAAAACACCTATTTTCCAAAAAAAACAACACCTGTTTTCCAAAAAAAAAAAAAAACCTATCTTACAAGATATCACAAGCTATCTTCCCAAAATAAGGCAACTTGTCTTCCAAAATAACATTATAACCTAACCCAACCAACTAATAAAGGTAAAACTGTCTTCTGATAACAAAATAACCTAACCTAACCAAACCAGCTAATAGAAGTCTGTGATTTCCCACCATTAAAAGAAAGACAAGTGTGCAAGACCATCATCATTCCTTGCTCAAGTTTGATGCTCCCACAACCATAGGTCGTTTCCTCAATAAATAAGAATTGCCAGTTGAAGCTTTAGTTGATGCAGGAGGGGAAGATGTTGAGGATGGAGCAGTTGAATCAGTTGGTGGTACATTTGAACTTCCAGCTGCAGTGGTGGCCTTTCTCTTCCATTTTCTTT